TTGTGTGGCTGATCAAATACCTTTGGTTGTCTGCATTACTAGATTGGTTGCTCAAAAAGGTCTCCATCTCATCACTCATGCGATCAAGCACGTTGAAGAACTAGTAAGTGTTTATCCCCATTTCGTCCTTTTCACCAACAGTGCACTTAGACACAGGAAAACAGACATTCGATCAGTCAAATTTATACATAAATAGCACATAGGGTACATTTTCATTATGAAAGGTTCAATTGGATGACCGTTTATCATTTTAAGTGAAAGAGTCATTGAGATGATGTGAGCTTGACTTTTCCATCATAAGCACAGAACTTGTGAACTACTCTCGGCACTTCCTAAGACATTCCCGTGTCTCAACTATGACAGATGTGTAGAATCCCGATTTGTGTATTCAGTTTCAGATTTTGATATTAAAGCCCACCAGTTCCACCCTGGGGATATAGGGCTACCTGAGCAAGGGGAGTCGGAGAATGATCTGTCATCTTGCAGTGTAGATGATTGTTTTTGCCTCCTCTCCACATAAGTAACATCTGGAACATAATTGGTATATCACCTTTCAATAAGATTGTCCTGTCACCTGGTCAGGACTGCCACTTTTGCCCAAAGCCATGTAAAGTAAGCCACATTATATGGAACTTTGATTTTCCATATCATCTTCCACAGCCAACAGCTAATCTGGTTGTTTGTTAGGCTGAACACTTTATAAGCAGATTTTACAGAGAGCTTGCCTAAAAACGGCATGCATATGTTGGACAATATGGAGGGAGAGAGATTTTAGATTCTTTTGAAAACAAAGGAGAGCCCATCGAAAAGACTAAAATGAGCTGTTCAGTTTATTTTATTTTTTGACGCAAACAGAGTTACGTTAGTGATGCTGAAGCCGTGATAGAATCTATATAATCCCTTTAACAATAGCAAGGGATGCACTTTTGGTAATTTGTAAATACTTTTGACAGCACCTTGGTGAGATAATTGTAATACACTTACCTTATCTCAAAATTTTTTTTACAACTTTGCAGCTATTCGTAGGATTGTTTTCTAACTTGTGGCCAACTGATAGGGTGTTGTTTTGACCATTGTAATTGAAGTCTGCTGCTGGCATGTTTTTCAGGGTGGACAGATGGTTGTTTTGGGGAGCGCTTCAGATGATCGAGTTGAGAGAGAATTTGAAGGTTTAGCAGAACTGGTAACCAAAATTTCTAGACTTGAACTATTCTTCCTGCTGGCATGTTGTGGTGGTACAGACGGTTCTTTCTCCATCATGAGATAGAATATGGAAGCATTCACCACTGATAATACAGTTCATTATGATCATTTTTATTTTTCCTTCTCTTTATCATTGTTTTTCTAATGATTTTAGAATGGAATCATTTAATGATTTAGATGTCAGGTTCCAGACCAAGTGCTGGATTTTGACTTGAAAGAAACGCCAATTGATAAACCAAAAAGAAAAACAAACAGGAAAGAACAAGAGTGATAGAATAAGTTAATAAAATTGACTGCACTAATTGCTTATTAATGCATATTTCCAAATTTCCCTCCAGAGTAAACTAGGAGCAATAAGCAGTTAGTGATTTCATGTGTTAACAAATGTAATTCCATCCTGCTTATAAGTATCATCACTACTCACACATTTGAGAGAACATAGTGTTTTATTTGAAGGAGTCCAATAAATCTGTTGGTGTTTATTAACCTTTTTGAATGACCATGCAATGGTGATATCTGTTACTTGTCCTCTTTGTAGCATAACAAGGGCTCCAATATCCGTATCCTTTTGATGTACAGGTAACTACTTTTTAAAGCAAATTGATTATCTAAAATTCCTGACCTTCAACAAATGCTAGTGGTAATGTTTATGAAGTTATCTGGAGCTTCAACACAAATTCAACTTTCTTATCTGATTAAGTGCACCTCAAATGATATGAATCACTTGTAGATATCAATTCATTTTTCATATGAATCACCTCTATACACTGAATGCATGATGGAAATTTCTAACCCGAGTTCTCACTGTTTCCCCAATGGCATCAATCATGAAGCGAGGAGCTGTCCCATATGCTATATGCTGCTGCGGACATGGTCTTGGTGCCTTCAATGTATGAGCCATGTGGGCTAGCACAGATGATTGGAATGCGTTATGGAGCTGTAAGTACTAGGATTACTTATTAAGAGTAGTTTGTTTCACATTTTATGTTGATAAACTGGGAAAGATATCTGTTTCTTATCTGCTTCTGAGTTTCCATAATTATATGGTAGAAGAACTTGTCAGAAAGATTTTATTTAGGGCTGTGTGTGTTTCTAGAAGGATAAAGTGGTGGTTGTCCAATTATTGCTTCCAGAAACATACTCATTCCAGCTTAAGAAAGGAAACAATAGCAAGGAGTTTTTGTATCTGTTTCAGGTTCCCATAGTTAGGAAGACGGGTGGTCTCGCGGACACGGTTTTTGACATGGATGATCAATCTCACACTGAGATTGCTAATGGGTAACTGATCAAATTCTTGAAATCTTACTTATTTTTGTATTCAAAATTGATGCTAGTATGAACTGGGTTCTGAACTTCAACCTTGTGTGTGTTTTTTTCAATAAAAAAATTGTCTGGTCATGCAGCTTTTCCCATTTGTAGGTTTGACTGGTATTGCAACTGTGATTCTGAAGTGCTCACATATTTCTCATGTAGGTTTGTCTTTGAAGGAATTGATGAAGGTTCCTTAAACTGTGCATTAGGCCGTGCATTTTCTTACTATCAAGAAAGTAAGCCATTTTATCCTTGAATATCCACGTAGCTCTTATCCTTCTGATTTCCTTGAAAGATACCAGTTGATTGTAGGCTCTCAGAAACTGACTATCTGTTTTGAGATAAAGATATAATTGTTTGATTGATATGATGTCTGCAATTGTAATGCAGAACCAAATGAATGGAAAGCTGTCGTGCAGAAAGTTATGCGTATTGACAATAGCTGGAATAATACAGCAGGGAAATACATAGATATCTACAATTCCGTAAGAGTGAGATAAAACAAATTTCCCAAGGCACAGATCATTTTGCGATGATCAAGAAATAGAACCAGTTTATCTTTAATGTATTTTTTTTTCCCTTTATATAGACGAGTGTTACATTTTCCTCTGCTACCAGTTGATCCAGCTTGTGATAAAGTAATGATAACAAATTCTCCTACGGTCTGTAAATGTTTCCTTAATTTCAAATCTTTAATGTGGATCACAAGTGTTTGTCCATGATGATGGCCTACCTACAAGGCTACAACTAAGAAAAATTCTTAAGGAGGAGCAATACATATCTGATATAGACGTATCTTCTCAATCAAGGATTACCAACGTATCCCTGATTGAAGGAAATTCGCTAAAGAGCTATATCAACAATATCCAGATCAAATCAATCAAAAGAGCAATTAAGATGGAAAATTAATTTCAATAACAATCAAGGTGAAAAATTGATTCTCTACGCAGCAACGGTCATGAACCAACACATCACTATAAAAGAAGATCATGATTAAAGAACAGAGTGCACAACTTCACTTGAGCAAGAATTATTCCCTCTTTTATCTCACAAAAGACATTATAGTTAACTAGTGAAATGAAAAAGCTATACACGTAGAGATTGTGACCACAAAAGGATGTCTAATTTTCCAGACATAAGGAACTTTCAGAGTTTATCACAACGAAATCTGTAACCGTCAAGTTCGTTCAAAAGCTCTAAAGGGAACTGGATGAGGCAGTAGGCACCACATCGTTGATCTAAACCTGTATAAAAGCATCTGTGTCAATTAGTCTTTTTGTTAGTTCACATCCTGCTATACTTGCTTATCTGTCTAACTTTGCAGGAGAGTCGACTTGAGTGTAGCAAAAAGATTTCAATTCAACACCCCCTCACCAACAACCACCACCACCCAAGATATTCAGAAAAGCAAGAACGTCATGTCTAAAATCAGTTGATTATAATGTATGTGTAAACCATTTCATAATTAATTGAATCTTGGCATTATACTATCTTATATTCATTACCCAACTCACTACAAGTGAAACAATGAAAATTTCAGGAAATACTGTTATCATAAGGCATTAGTATTTCAAGATCTCTTAGATGGCAAATTGGCAATCTAAGAAGGAACACCCAACAGGTACGTAATTCATCAAGCAAAGTTTTCATAAACTCATATAAAGTAACACGATTTACGAAGCACATATCGTTAAGCTTTGAATGGAAGATAATTAAATTGTTAGGGGTCGTTTGGTTTGAAAATGAGTTATGATGGGATAAGTTATGTTGGGATTAGTTATGATGGGATAAGTTGTGTTGGGATTATTTTTTATTGAGTGTTTGGTTTGTTGTATTCAAAATAATAAATTTTAAGAACAATTTATTTGTTTACAAAAATGCCCTTCATTAATGTAAAAAGTGATATAACAAAAGGGTTGAAAGAGACATTTTTGTCATTTACCTATTTTATCCCGGGATAAGTTATCCCGGGATTACTATACCACCCAAGGAGAGGGATAACTTATCCCGGTACTAATTATTAATCCCGGGATAAGTTATCCCGAACTTGCCAACCAAACAACAAAATAAGCGGTACTATAATTTAATCCCGGGACTATTTGTTACTATACCTCACACCAAACGAGCCCTTAGAGATTTTGACAAGCACGGCTTGAACTACGAAATAGTTCAAAAAATAACATCAAGGAACACCATTTTGCACCTAGGATTTTTTTTGAATGCTTCGGAAATAACAGCAAAAGGTATGTAGCCAGAAATAGCAGAAAGAACCCCAAGTTATGTATCACCCCACACCCATGTAACTCCAGATGAAATGTTGGTTACATTTGATCTATGGTTTCTCCAACATATGTAAACCTCTTTTTTTCATATGGGTAGACACTCCCATGTGAATAAGAAAGTACAATAACAGCTGAAAGCATGTTTACATATCAAGTTTAGATCATATAAAGAGTTCCCAGATGAAGCAATAGATAGGTACAAAGAGGTGTTTTCAAGCCTCTAACAAACCTATTTTATTCAGAATCTGAATATTGCTGACAAACAAATAATAGGGTTCACAAATATTCCCATTATGAATGATTTCAAGGAATTATGCCACTTTGATGACAAGCTATTCACATCATGAAAAATACAAACGTCCTTTTACAATTTACTCCAATTTCAGGTTAAGGAGCCTCTATATATGGAAAAGTGGAAAGGAAGGCGAAAAGTATCAATCCTTTTACATGGGACTGATTGTATGTTCTACCTGTAGATGCTGCTGCAACTGAAACCAGAGATACGGGAAAGTCTCTCTAATGTCTCTTCATTTTTTGTATATATTTGGGCACTTCAGCTGATAACCTCGGCAAGTACTTAAAAATCTGGAAAGACAGTCTTCCGTTAGAGAATAGTAATATGGGTTACATTTCTTCCAATACCATAAGAAAGTACACATGATAAATGGTAATCTACAAACATTAACATTGATATTTTTTTTAGAAATATTAGTAAAATAAGTTGACTTATGCTAAAATGTCATTTCTTTTGAATGCATGAGGCCCATGTTGCAAAAATTTGGAGAGGATGAGTACTCTCAATCAATCATTTGTCTTGAAGACAAGTGAAGACATGATTCTTATTTAACTCACTCGACTTGCTTTTGATAAGTTGGCATTTTTGCCAAACTTATGCTACTTTTTAATGATACATTCATGCCCCATTTGTGAGATTAATGGGCTAATAATGGTTTGAATGATAAAATTTTAGGTTTTGACAGTTTTTTTTTTTTTTTGAAACTGGTAATGTTAGGTTGACAGTTTTTTTTTTTGAAACTGGTAATGTTAGGTTTTGACAGCTTTTGAAAAGCTTAAGGAGTGGAATGACTTCAATACTTTTGAGGAAATTGGACATGGAGGCTAAAATTTGAAGAAAAAGTGGCTAAAAAAGCAAAGAGAAAATTGTGGGGGCCAAGTACCTCACCCACGTATCTGAGCCACGTAGCCAGGGAAGAGAAGCCAGTCAAGGGGGAGCTTCTGGAGTCACCCACGTGACGTAGCCATATGTGAAGGGCCCTGTTGCCATATTTTTGCACGACTTCAAATAGATTTTTACTATACTTTTTATATCATCTTTGTACCTTTGAAGCTTAGAGAGCATCTATAACTATTTTTTAGAGGTTTTGAAGGATTTCTCCATAGAGTATCAATTTTCTTTCCTAATTGCTCTTTAATTAGCTAAACTCCATAGCTGGGGTTGTAGACTCTTATGGCATTAATATGAATGTGTATTAGTTTATCTTGCTTATTATTACTTGGGCTTTTATTATCTACTTATTTACATTCTTATTTGGTTATTTGGTCGTTGCAAACGCTAGATTAAGATTTACACGTCCATTTCTTGCTTGGAAGAGTGGAAATTGGATTGGATATTGCACAAGTAGCAAGGAATTGAGTATATTGGGGAATCCTTATGCTTGATTAATGGAATCAAACTAGGGAGATTCCTACTTGGGTTTATCAATTGGGTCTTAATATTTCTTTCTCTTGAGTTCGGAAGAATTTGTAGGGATTAACTTCCTAGAATTGAAAAATTCTACTAAGTAGTTTTCAATAAAAATCATAATCATCAATCCTATGTTGTACGCAAGATACTTATATTCATGAAATAGATGATTTATCTTTGAAGACAATTGGATGAAAATATACTTCTACCAACTTCATGCTTACATAAAATATTGTAGCGCCTAGGCATTTATAGGAACTCTCTACCATATGCCTATACTAGTATGTGCATCATAATTTAGTTCTAAACATTTCCTATTCCCTAGATCCTAGTTCATGAATAAAAGCATACATGTGTCTTCAGTCTTCACATTAATTTTTTCCTAATACATGAACTAGTTAAATTCATGTACTTGGGGTGGATCTAGTTTACTTTTATATTTTGACACTAGGATCTAGTTTACTTTTGCTAAACACTCCCCTTGAACTTGATTCATAATTTCAAGAGATAATCTAGAGACATCAAATCTTGGTGAAGATATGCACAAGTCAGTCTTGTGACTTCAGAAACTCGAGCTCAACTTTTTTCTTAAATCTTCCTCTACCTCATCTATGTTTACGGCTTCTTTGATACGAGTCATGTTTTTCGATCTTTCTCCTAATTCTTCATAGAATCCTATGATTGCAAAGCTTGTTCAACAATTCTTGTTTCGGATTATTACGTTTTTAACCAAGAATGAAACAACAAAAGACAATCTAGCTTAATCCTCAGTAACAATTTGTGCTTCTCTTCAAAACACCTGGAGTTCCTTTCTCCCAAACTACCCACCAAATACAACAAGGAACAGCATTCCACCAGTTATTTCATACTTTGCCTTGTCCATACTTATCCCAACATCGCAAAAGATCAGGTGTTGTAGCCCCAAGCATGGACCATTTGATACCCACAAAATTCAGAAATAGCTGACATAGCTGATCAGTGAAAGGACAATGTAAAAAGAGATGATTAAGAGTTTCTGCTTGACCACCGCATACATAAAGAGATTTCTGTAGGTTGTCTAGTGTCAGGAGTGATTCTTTGGCCCCAAATCCCAATCCATGAGAAAAACACCACTTTGTAAGGATCTTTTGACTTCCAGATGCGTTTCCAGGGCCATGGCTTAATAGGATGGAGTTGCTCTTCCTTGGATACAATTCTGCAGCAAGATTTGACTGAGAATTCCCCTTTGTTGCACCTTTTCCAGAGCAATTTATCTAAACTTGAGGAGCAACTTTGAAAATTTTCCAACAGCTTCTACAGTTAGCACACACTTCAACATTCCCAATTGTTCATATTTCTTCTGATGTTGACTGTCCAGGATCTATTTGCTCCAAACTTAGCTATGGTACCTTCAGTGCATGTCACCACAGAACAAATCAGGGAACAATCCTTTAGGGGACCATGGCTAATCCAATCATCATGCGGGCGAAAAGTTATTGCATCCATTCCCACTCTAAAAATTCAGGCCACAGATTTCTAACGCTCTGCAAGACTGGCACCCCATGTGGATTTTTAATTAGCTTGGTACACCAGCTACTTTAGATACCATACTTGATCCTAACAACTCTATTCCACAGTGCTTCCACTTCTAGATTGAATCTCCATAACCACTTCATTAGCAAACTTTTATTGTGTGCATTCTTAGATTTCTAACCCCTAGTCCCCCATATCCTTATATTTAAAAGCATTGTTTTCCATTTAACAAGGTTGAAAGAACTTTTCTCTTTGTTACCATGCCACAAGAATGACCTCCTTATTTCGTCAAATCTATGTTCAATGTTCGCAGATAGAGGGAATAAAGACATAATATAAGTACGCATTGAGTTCAACACACTGTTTACAAGGTCAGTCTTCCTCCCAGTGATATATATTGTTTTCTTCCAGCAAGCAAGTCTTCTTTCACATCTCTCCAAAACTGTAATGACCATCATGGTTGTTTTGAGTCTTCTGCGTGATTTCTCCATTTTGACCCTTTTTGTAGCTTCTATATGTCATTTATGACTTGCAGGGATATGTGGCAAGATTTCCGAGGTAATCGGATGTGTTTCGAGGAAAATTTTCAGTTTGGAAGTTTAACCAAAGTCAAAATTTTGGATTAATGAGGTCGGATTCAAGTTTTGACAGATCTGTTAGGTCCAAAGGATGATTTTTGACTTAGTTGGGTGGTTTGCACGGATCCCCAGGCACTCAGAAGTGATTTGGATCATTAGATGATTCTAGTATTTTGGAAAGTTTAGAGTAGATCACAATCAACATTTGGTCAAGATGACCTTGGATTGGTTATTTGATGATTCCACCAGGTCCGAAACTTGTTTTATGGTCAATCTGCATATTTGGTTTGTATCCGGGAGGTTTCAGATGAATTTTGAGGGTCGTGTCCAAGTTTGAGAGTGTTATAAGGTTTCTGGGTGCAGTCCAGTGCATTTCTTTCCGCACTGGCGAAGGCGCAGCAGTGAGCATTGGATTGCCGCTGTGAAGTCGTCAAGGTCAGGAGAGGTTGCTCCTGCGAACTCCCATCCACATTGGCAATGCCGCACCAGTGAAGCTCGTCTGCTCCTATGCGATGGCAGCCGCTTCTGCGGAGCTGAAAGCGCCAAGTAGCGCCCACTTTTGCTCATTTGGTTCCGCCTTTGTAAGCTCGCAGAAGCAGGAAATTCTCCACTTCTATGCAAATCCCTGGCTATTTAGAGTTCTAGAGCTTGGGGTTTTGGGCGGTTCTAGAGGGGGTTTGCTCAATTTCTTCGTGGGTTAAGATAAAAACCTTCTAATTACGAACTTTCTGCTACTCCATCGCTAAGTTCATCATTTAATTGGTGCTTGATGTTTTACCGATTTGGGAATTTGCCCCAAGTTGATAAGCATGCAATTCTGGATTTGGAGGTGGATCAACGATCCGTTTTAGCCAATTATTGGTGCCAAAGTTTTCTACCTAATGGGTTAACCGATTCTGAAATAAAATTCCAGATTCGACCTCGGGTGCTCGGGGTTGACTTCTTGACTCAATTTTTGAGCCAAACTTTTCTATTAAAATTCTACGAACTCGTATACTCATGTAGATTACATATTTAACCATATTAGGATCATTTGGAGGCATTTCGGAAGAACAAACCTGTAATTTGATCGTTTAAGCTTCATTTATGGCAAGTTGAGACTTTCTCGATTCATTATGAAGTGATAGTGCATTAATTGGCTGAATTAAGGGATAATGGGTAATGGGGTCCCATATAAATGAGATGATGAGCATTTATGCGGGTACTGGTGCCATGTTAGGGGTAAAATGATGATTATCTTCTTGCTTGATGAATCATGTGATTACATGAGCATGATTTGTGGCATATTGACTTGGCTTGATGCTTATGTTGCTCACTTGGTATTGATAAATTGATTTTGGCTGAAATCCCATATATGAGTTGTTTACTTGATTATTCTTTCACTTAATTACTCTTATTGTTAAATGATTCGGAGTTGATTATGATTGCTTGTACTGAGGGTTGAATCCGGTGTACAATTCGTTTGTGTTGGCATTTCAACTCATGCGCATTGACATTGTGGAGGTGAAATGATAAAGCCCGATTTAAAAGGTCACCTTGGGTATTCATGGTATATAGCGTTTATTTGGTACAGGGTGTTTCATCCAAGGCAAATCATTAGTGTTGTCCAGTATAGGAAGGGATGGACCCACATGGGTTCCAAGGGTTCATCCGAACCCCCTCGGTAAAAAATTGCACTATATATATAAAGTAAATTTTATGTTTTTATGTAGATATATTATTATGAACAAGAAGCAAGTTGTAGCAGTGGTAGATTCCTTTAAAGTTGACCCTCTCGTTTAGGGTTCGAATCCTGCTGTGAACATTTCATTTTTTTAGCCTCTCTTCATTTAGTTTCAGCTAAAAAGTCTCTTGTAACGGAACTAACTTTTTGTACCTCTACACTATATATTACTACTTAATTGAAATTGTGTTTTGTTGTCTTTTTCACATGTTTATACTTTTATTTTTCGAACCCCATTTAGTTTCAGCTATAAAAAGTCTCTTGTAACGGAACTAACTTTTTGTACCTCTAAACTATATATTACTACTTCCTTGTAATTGTGTTTTGTTGTCTTTTTCACATGTTTATACTTTTATTTTTCGAACCTCCTGAATGAAAATTTTGGAGCCACCACTGAGTATAGGGTGTGTATATGGACCTCGTGAGTTCCCCATGGATCCTGTCTATCTGACAAAGGAGACTTGCCGGAGTTCAGGATGAGTTGCTTGATTCAGCTGCACTGAATTCTAGCTCTATTTTAGATATTGTTTTTCTTCTTTTTTCAGATAGCTTGTACTTGTAGTATTCAAACCTATATTATCAGATTTTAATCTTTCTTGTACTTGTGTCACTAGTTCTTGGGGGTTGTGCTTATTACTCCCTCCGTCCCATTTTATGTGAGGTAGTTTAACTCGGCACGGAGTTTAAGAAAAAAAGGAAGACTTTTAAAACTTGTGGTCTAAAATGAATTGATAGAAATTTGTGTGGCTATAAATCAATTCATTAAGGGTAAAATGGACATTTTAAAGTTAAATTGTTACTTAATATAGAAATGTGTCATTTTTCTTGGGACAGATTAAAAAGAAAAGTAAGTCACATAAATTGGGACAGAGAGAGTATCATTTATCTTTGGGTTATGAATCAGATTTCAGACTTATAACTGTTTTACCTTGTTTTCTGCATATTTCCACTTTTTCACTCATCTAATGGTTAATAATGAATGGGGTTCACCGATGGGGAAGGGTAGGTACCCTCACCGCCTAATAGGATTTTTGGATCGTGACAGACATTTTGCCACATACTTTAATCTTTCCTCATCAGCATTATTGTCACAATCTTCATCTTTTCTTGGGTTTCATAAAAAGAAACCTTTTTGATGACAAGGGAAACCCGCAGTCGCTACCCTTTGGGTGCGCACAGGGTAAAACCCACGCTCCTATGCAATAGCTCGCAAACCACATACGAGAGGTAACCCGCACCAGGCGAGCTCTTTCATAAAAAGAAACCTTCTCAAACATATTTTCATCAATTCTTTGATAGATGAGTGTGAATTTTGTTATTCATCTCCTCATGACAATATCATTTGCGACCTCTCTACTCAAGATTCGTTGACGTGCAGCTACTCCATAAGCAACAATTTTGTTAGGGTTGACACTATTGTTGGACTCCTCACCCTAAACAAAATCCTTCAAAAGCTATTCAAGTTTTGAAATCTTAGTAGTTCCACCTACCAAAACAATTTCTTCAAGCTCATGCTTCCCTAGCACAACATCCTCATAGTTATAGTAGCTAATCTCATTCATATTTATTTCAATATGAAGATTCATTCTTTCAAATTTTTCAAAAAATCGTTTTCTCCACATGTCCCTCAAGACAAGTGGATCCGATACCAAATGTTGAAATTTTTGGAAAGGATGAGCACTCTAAATGAATCTTTTTCTCTTGGAAGATAAGTGAGGAAATGCTTCTTCCTTACTTCACTCAACTTGCTTTATCAATGAATGATTTTCTCATTGAAGACAAGTGGAGGAAAATATTCTTCTACCAACTTGATTTACATAAAATGTTCTAGAACCTAAGTAAGAATTCTTCTAACATGTATCTATTCTAGTCAATTTATCGTGATTTAGTTCTAAGCATTTCCTATTCCTAGTTCATGAATAAAGGCATACATGCATCTTAGCATTAATTTCCTAATACATGAACTAGGTAAATTCATGTACTTGGCATGAATCTAGTTTACGTTTTCAATAGGTCAAGGAGGGCTTTAAATCAATTACAACTGGAACAACGCAGACAAATATGGTTATCACTGATTGATCAACTTCAATACCATAATGCTCCACAAGGATCTCGAGCAAAGTCTCCCAACCAGATTCAGAATGGTATCTCCATGAAGGTCGAGGAGGACTTTACAGGCATATGCTTTGTTCACTTTCCAGATTTAAATAAAAAAAAATCCAAGTTATTGAAAAGTAGCACATACCCAAAGCTTCACAAAGGTATCCGTTACAACTGGAACAATGCAGACAAATATCGTTATCGCTGATCGATCAACTTCAATACCATAATGCTCCACAAGCATCTCAACCGCAGTTGTCCAACCATATTCAGAATGATACCTGGACAGATTCACCACATTATCCAGCATGACAAAGCTCTGGAAGGGTAGATTCCATTACTTTTGAAAAGAGGGAAATGCTGACAATTTCCAGAGATACAAATACATAGCTAAAAGATAGAGATGAATAGAAAAAAGATAAGAGTGTAAAACTAGGATTGGCACCACTAAAATTACAGGAGATGAGAAGAATAATTTTACGTCTAGACCTTGCACCTTGTTCAAGTTGAAGTACTTGTACAATAGAAATTTTAAATTTAATCCTTGAGGAAAGCCCAAAAAGAGGTTTAGGTTATTTAAACCCTTCACTTCTGTGAATTGGAAAGTAATGAGAAAGTTGCCTTCACTTTTATGAATTAGCTAACATGGATAGGTTCTATATTTACAGATAAGTTAATTTATAACATTCAATTTAGCCATAGGCATGAAATAGAACAAAATTTTACCCCAAAAGGATATCACTAATCAGAATGATCAGAAATGCCTTGCCAGCGTCGGAGATATTGTTTAGTATCTTATAACCAGTAAATTTGAGTAGCTTTACCTGCAGAAAGACAAGAAAGTTTGTAACTTAGAAACACTAAGACAATTTAGGAAGTACACTTTCAGAAATCCTATCCAATCCCTCAGGTAAATGACAACTACGGCCACATTTTTAAAGTTAAGATGTCTAAATCTGAATAAATGCTTGATTTTTAAGATGTCTATATTCGGATAATTAAGACTCTTTGTATTCTCTAAATCTCAATGTGCACAATTATCTTTATCTAACAACTCATGCATATAAAATTCAAAAAAAAAAAAAAAAATTAAATATTATATCCACATAATATTAGAGAATATTAAATTAAATGGTCCTGTAAAAGTTGTTAGTTAGATGAAGTAAACTCTACAAACTAGCGATAGAGGCATTATGGGCGGTGGTGATCGGTAGTGATGGTTGTGAGGCGGTGGCTGATGGTGGTACGGTCATAAATGATGGTTGTGCGATGGTCACCTATGTTGCTTGGACTCTTCAAAAAATATCAACGGGTGCGTGCTGGATTCTCCAAAAGTAAAGTGTTTTTGGTGAATCCGACATGGGTGTAGAATTGAAAGTGAAGAGTCTGCGCAACTTAGGAGGTCGCCAGTGGTGGTGTTTGGTGGTGGTTGCGGGTAGTAGTGGCTGGAGACTGCTTTGGTTGGTGGCAGTGGTAAGCAATGGAGGTTGAAAGTGGAAGTAGCATGGCTGACGGTAAAAGTGGTTGGTGGTGGTTGTGTGATGAAAGTTGGTGACAATGCTTGTGTGGTAGTAGTGAATAGAGTAGTAGTAAAAGATGACAGGAGTACAATAGGCAAAGTACAATCAAGAGCGATATTAGGAAAAAATGGCATTCAAAGAAAACTTCCTTTATTTATCTTAATCACACCAAGTCCAACCAAGTTTGTAATTTCACATTAACCTCTTTTGCCCAATAGCATAGATGATACCAGCATATCGGCAAACAGATAAATTTTGGAGGAAGAAAGATATTTCTCCGATTGGGGAGAACTTACTTTACTCTCATTGAAGCACAAAAGAATGAATAATGAGACCCCAAAGACAAAGTCCGACAATATATTAGCAAATGCCTTGCGATTTTCTAACCTCCACTCGTCCCGCAACTCTAACCTGCAGTTGTAATCACCCAAAAATTAACAGTATCAGAAATCAATGTAAGTCATGTCAGGATCTTAAGTGAGACATGTTATAAATTTTTCAGGGAAGGATTTCACTGAAATATTATTTTTTTTGATAACCGAGAAATCCGTCTGTGACCCGTCCTTTGGACGAATCACAGCCTTTTAAACTCGGTGGATAATGGGCCCGCCCCTCAACCCTTCTCCACTTAAATACCGGGCTTCGCTTTGCATGGTGTGGGGCATGAACCTGCGACCTAAGCCACAAATCCTCCACCTTTTGCCACTTGAGCTAGGCCTTGGGGGCGGGATTTTACTGAAATATTATTCACTGTTTCCAATCAGATTGTCCACATAAATCAACACATTAACTCTGTAACTATGTCCTTAAGCAAAAGAAGAGGCTCCAAGGATATGCTTGGATGTAAAGACAGACTTGACCTAAATATAATATCAACAAACAACTTGAGGAACATAGTATGAAGCCTTCTCCAGCTAAGAGGTTAACTTAGTCATGTATTTATAGACAAACTGTACAAGTTAGAGTTCAAAACACAACAAAACATAAATACAATTTAAAATACAAGTTCTATTCTAGCATACATGTTAAGGGGAGGAATGAACACTCGGCATCCTTTCTGAAATCTTTAACTCGAGGTTGTTTCTTTTTTTGGTCCAAACAACCAGAGTTGCCCCAAGGAAACAAAAAAACCCAAGGTGAAGCAGGAATATCAGACTCTCCAGCCCAATCCGTATCTGCAAAGAGGGTCAAGGAAGATGAGGAACTGGAATATGATTGCAAGCGATAAGCGGAAGTGCCTTCAAGGTATCAAAAGATCCTCTTGACTGCCTGAGATGACGAGCACGACGTTGATGAAGAAATCACAGAGGCAACGTGACTGAAAACTGGAGTCAGGCTATGAAAGAAAGATATAGAACCCATCCATGTTACGATAAAAGGAAATATTTCAGGCAAAGGAGAATATATCAATCTAACTTACTGTGAGTGAGAGTTTGGATAGGTTTACCAAGTTAACCACTTAAGGATATCAGTAACGTATTTGCATTGGACCAACAAGTTGAATAATACCTTAATTCCAAGTGTAACAAAGGGAACTCAAGTCTTCCATAGAAAATTTGGATTGAATTAATGAGACAAAGTAAGAAATCAACCATTTGGATGAACCAAAAAGTGCTAGGTCATTGACATAGATGAGAAGAATCAAGAGATCAGGGCCTACATGAAAGATAAACGAGTTGCAATCATGAGATTGTTTCGTTCAGAAAAAAAGTTCCAAGATGTTGAAACCATGCATGAGTTGAGTGTTAAAAATCAAATGATTGAATCTCTTAGATTGCCTCATAAAAGCATTCTCTCGTGACTTGTCATGACAAAAAACATAGGGCAGAGGTTGTGGAATCCGGTTCTTCAGAGGGTTCAGAAGAGGTTAGTTAGATGGCAGGATGGTAGAAAAGATATTTGCCCAAAAGAGGGAAGAAACTGCTTATTAAGAGCACCTTATCGAGCATTCCCACTTGTTCCTTGTCTTTGCTTCGTGCTCCAGCTTCAATCACAAGTAGGAAAAGTATCAAAGAAAATTTCTTTGGGATGCGGCATATAGGGCAAAGAAGTTTCATTTTGTGCGGTAGGAGACTTATCACATCTCCTAAAAAATGGGGAGATCTCAATATTAAATATTATTGGTGTTTAACAAAGCTTTGTTGGGCAAATGGCTTTGGAGATCTGGGGTGGAGGTACAAGCTTTTTGGGGAGAGGTGATAGTTGATAAATATGGGGTGATGGAAAGGAGAGGGAGAACTAGAGATGTCATTATGCCTTTTGGGAGATGGGAGGAGAATCTTTTTTTTGGGAACACATATGGTGCAGGGACAATCTTCTGAAAGATGAGTTTCAGATTTTGTTCTGAGTCTCATGCCAAGGAGACTCGACGATCCCAGCATATTAGGGGGACACAAGGTCGAGAGAATTTTTGAGATTTGAAATTTAGGAGGAATTTCCAAAATTGAGAGGTAGCAGAGTTTCAAAGGTCACTCGGGTTGATAACCCCAATGTCTGGTGGAGTTTGGGGAACAATGTTTTTTTTTAAAAAAACGGGTAATGTTATTGGAACAATGGTTTTTTCTCTGTTAAGTCCTTTTTACAAAAGACTGTTGGTTAGGGAGGAGGTTGTTTCTGTGTAATGCAATTTGGATACCACAAGTGCCGAGAAAGGTGTGTTTCTTCTCTTGGCTAGCTGCCAAAAGGGGTGATCTTGATGGCTAAAAATCTTAGAAAGTGGAAAGTTGTCTATGTCAACTGGAGTTATATGTGCAAGGAGGGGGTGAGGATGTGGATCATCTTTTTCTATAATGTGATTTTATCATGAGGTTATGGTGGGATATGCTAGATGGTTTGGAATTTCTTGGGCAATGCCACAAACTATGAAATATTTTTATTTTTTTTGAAAATATATTCCTCAGTATTAAGGATATGTTGGCCACCTCCAAAATAGAGTAGCAATACATGCTACCTATCAAATCTATAATCTGATCTATATCTTCTATACAAAGTTGTTTACCCCAAAAAAGTACAGATATAATAAAAATTCATTTAACTCTGTGTATGGAATTGGACCTATCTTCAAAACATCTTTCATTTATTTCCCTCCACACTAACCACTATATACATGATGGTATTAACCTTTACCATCTCTTTTGGCTTTTATTGCCTCCCCTCCTCATCCAACTGCTCAAGAGATCTGATGTGCGTTCTGGCATTGTCCAGCTCATGCATGTAATGTTGAGGAACAGATTCCATAGTCGAGCAGTGAATTTGCAGTGTAAAAATAGGTGTTTATTTATGTGGTTTGCGAGCTATTGCATAGGAGCGCACCCAAAGGGTAGCGCGGCTGTGGGTTTCCCTTGTCATCAAAAAAAAGAAAAAAAAATAAAAAAAATAGGTGTTTATTTTCTGTATTTATGTAGATATATTAATTTTGAACCCCCTCATAACAAGAAGCAAGTTGTAGCCTAGTGGTAGATCTCCTTTTAAATTGACCCTCATGTCCAGGCTCGAATCCCATTGTGAACATTTTATTTTTTTAGCTTCTCTTCATTTAGTTTCAAGACCAATCTTTCACGTTTTTTTAAAAGAAAAATGTGCTAAAAGAGTAGATTTAAACCCAAAAAATCCATTGTGAACATTTTATTTTTTAGCTTCTCTTCATTTAGTTTCAGGACTAAAAAATAAAATGTTCCATCTAATAAGCTTCTTTTCAGTTTTCTCTAGAATATCATCCCATATTTTCATAGTCTTATGTTTGTTGCCCAAAGGCATGCTCAGACTTCTTTTTCTTTCCCTACTCTTTCTCCAACTTGAAAACCTGTGATACACCTATTATGTGGTGCAATCTTCATCATACAAGCAAAACTTTCCATTGGCAAGAACAAAAAGAGAGAGAGGGGATCACCCAGTCTCAACCCCCCCCCCCCTTTCCTGATGCAAGAAAACTCACATATTCATTCATAAGAACAGAGAACCTAACTGTTTTTATACAGAACTCAATCCACTTCAGCAATCTGCTACCAAATCCCATCTGACTGAGAGTATTCAGAAGGAAGGACCAATTCACATGGTCATAAGCTTTCTGAACATCTAGTTTGCACATTATGCAGGAGTTCTCCTTTTCATTCTTGAGTAAATGCATTCATTGATTATGAGTGTGCATCCATGATTTGCCTCCCCTTTACAAATGTCATTTGATGCTTGTTGATCAATTTATTCACAACCATTTTTAACTAGGACTGGGCATTCGGTAGTTTGGTTCGGTTTCGGTTTTTTTTTTTCGGTTTTTTTGGTTTTCGGTTCTTGTACAACGTGTACCGAACACCGAACCGAAATAATTCGGTTCGGTTCGGTTTTTATTATTTCGTTTCGGTTTTTGTTAGTTCGGTTTTCTCACAAACTAACTAGCAACAAAAGCAAAAATCAGAAAGAAAAATAAATGGAAGAAGAAATATTCATTTTGAAACTTGTTAACTTAAAATGGAAGAAGAAATATTGACAACAAACAAATAATGGTGGTCGCCGGAAGTGGAAAGTTGTCGGTGGTCGGCTCACGGCTGGCGCCTGGCTGTGTGGAAACTGGAAAGGTCAGCTGGTCGCTGCTGTGCTGAGTGCTGCTGCCTGCTGGTCGACTGGCGGCTGCTGCGTGCTGCTGCTGGTCGCCAGAAGTGGGAATGCCGATTTTCGTGTACTGCCGGAAGTGGGAACGCCGATTCACTGTAGATATGGGAAGTGGAACGTGGGTCTGTACTTTGTAAAGTGCAAAGTGGAAAAGTAAGAAAAAAGTTTGAAAAGACAAACTTTTGACCTACTTTGTTTTTAATTTTAAATTATAATATTTATTATTTAATATTAATAATTAATAAAATATTAATATATATTATAATATAATATATTTCGGTAAACCGAAATACCAAATAACACAAAAATTATATACTGAAAAATACAAAAACATATACCGAATACCGAACCAAAAACTGAAATACCAAAATAATTCGGTTCGGTTCAGTTTTTCGGTTTTTCGGTGATTATGCCCAGCCCTATTTTTAACCTTTCTGCCATCAGTCTAGCAATGATGTTGTAAACTCCCCCTACCAAGTTGATTAGTATGAAGTCCTTCAGTTCTGAAGTTCATGATTACTTTGGGATTAAGGCAATAAAAATTGCATTGAAGCTCTCCTCAAAACCCTGACTGGAGTGAAAAAAAAATGAATAGTATTAATGATATCTCCCTTTAGCAGAACCAAAATGTATCAAAAAACACCATTGGTAAGCCATCAGGTCGTGCTTTTCCTTTGCACACAAGTTTAAAGTTTAAACATTCCATTATTTCTTCTTCCTCATAAAGTCTCTACAACCAAACATGTTCTTCTTTAGTGATCCTTGTAACATTCTGCAGTCTCAAGTCAGGCCTCTATTGCTCAGTC